TAAAATACTGTTGGTATAGAAACTGAAGTATAAAAACAGAGCAAATGTTAGTACATTACAGATTTAAGCAGGAAAATTAGGAAGATAATGAGTATATATTATATACTAAAGAATAATAAGATAATCTTTTTTCATGGCAATGCAACAGAAGATAATTTTAAAGAAGAATTTCAGAGTTCTGTCAAATCAGTGACAACCAAGGAGGAATAATCTCAGTCAATGACAGTCAGAAAAAAAACCAAACAAATTTGTTCTTGAAGAATTATCCATAGGCTTCAGTAATAAAAAATTGTATACTTTGCAAATTGCACTGCAGATTACTCTGAAACCTGTAGGCAGGATCAATGTGACAATGCCCAACTGCATTTACTTCTGAGTCACAGCAGGAAGAGTTGTGGTCTGAACGAAAAAGACAAAATAACAGCATGTCCTGTGTATGAGCCAAAGCTATCAGGCTTAAATTCAGTCACAGCAAATAATAACTTTATTTCTATAGAAATATTTATTTTTCACATTGTGTCTCATATTAATCCCAAGAAATCATTTGTGATCACATTGAAGGATGTTGCATGTTTCCTGTAGTCGGTCTGAAGGCACTTTAAACATGTTAACAGTGTCATTTGTTTGAGAGGTTGAAGGTCTAGACCAAAACCAAATGTCTGCTTGGATCAAAAGCCAGTCAAAACCTCTGACATTTCAGTGTGAGGGGAATCTATTGAAACAATGAAGACCTCCCAGGCAGAATTACCTTTGTGACACAGCTAAATTGTATCTTATCTGCCAATACTTATTTGAAATAACCCAGTAATCTATCAAAATCTTATAATGTGGGATTTCAAATCTGAAAAATTAGCTAAAGAAAACTGTCATTGGGAGGATGTGATTATTCTGTGCCCCCATCTTTTCCTATCCTTCACAAAGTTCTGTAAAACTATTTTCTAATATTGTTACTAAAATATATTGCCCTGGCAAAAATTTGTGTACTATGACTCAGCTGTGATTTTCAGGTGTGCATGGAAGTAAATTAGAGGTTATGGGATTACAGTTGGAGATGCTTTCTTCATGTCAGATACTCTGTGGTGGTATCAAAAATGCTTAGTTGATTTCAGGCTAAAATGTGGAATAAGACTAAAAGTAATGACTTCTGTGTGACTATACAGCTCCTTCTTCTAACAGTAAATTTATCTCAGGCTTTAAGGAAGTTTACAGGCATTGGGAATTATATTTAACATATTCCATATGTGCAAAAGTGAAACAGAAATTTAAAATACATTCATTTCAGTCACGGATGGGATATAACTCTTAATATTTCCACTTGCACCCTGGGCAATATCTTGTAGCTCTGTAAAATTTCTTACTCTAAATGCAGGTGTTTTCTTAGAGCAACCCTGTTTCTGTAGAGAAAAATACCACTCCTTTCCCTTTGGAAATCTAGAATAATAACTCACAGAGTAGAAGAAGAAATTAGTAATGTCCGGGAAATGTTACTGGTTGAAAAAGGGGGAAAAAAACCCCTACAAAATACAGGTTTGATATCTCTTTCCAGATAATGCAAAACTTTGACTGAGCACGTGATTGCATTGTCATACCATGCTGGAAATTAGCATTTCCACATGGCATTGGACACAGTCCTCTCACTGGGTCTGGTCTGATGAGAAGAGAGCCCTCAACAACTTTTACTCATCTGTTGTAAAATCTTTCTGCCACTGGGCTTCTTTTCCCCCTCCACTAAATTCCTTTTAAAACCCACTATAATAATTATGTTAATATTTCTGGAATTAGGTGCTTTTCAAAGAAATTCACTGTGCACTGTACTGTACTGAGCAGCAAGGCCCAGAAACTGTAAAAACTATTTCATCATATATATTAGAAAGATATTTTAAAACATAGGTCTTAATGGAATTTGGCTGCAGTAATACAGGAACATGCAACAAGAAACTCTTAAAAACTTCAGAGCAGACCAGCTTCTTACATGTGTATTATCTAAAGATAAAGGGTATTCATCATAACAATAGAACATACAGGTGTAGATGAACAAGATGAACACATCTCATTTTTTTCCTCTTTCACTTCAACACATTTGGGAAGATCTATGATGGAACATGCCTTCCACTTTCCCTCTTAGTGGAAAGTGATGAAGAATTTGGCAGGATCAGTTACTTTAAGGTGTGATTTCCTGCTGGAATGAGATCTGGAGGCCAAAGGGGAGGTGAGGACTTTATTAATTTTAGCTGGAAGTAGGCGCGAGAGATCACATCATAAAACATTCTGTCAGTGTCAGCTATATGTTCCAAGAGTGGATTAGCATTTTAAAATCTTACTGAGTCTGACAAGCAAGCCTTTCCATTCTTAAAAAAGATAAAACAACCTTCTCAAGCCTGTATTTTTGTCAGAAATGAAATAATTTATTTATAAAGAATGTTCATAAAACCAGTTTGAAATTATGTCATAGTCCTAGATAAAGGAATCTTGGAAATACTACATGAAGGTCTGTGGGTTTATGGGTGGGGTTTTTTGCATTTTGTTTGTTTTGTTTGTGTAGTTTTGGTTTTTTTTAATGGCAACTGGGTCTGGATCCATTGATGCAAAAGAGCAATAGGAACAAAAAGTCTCAAGTTTCTTTATGTGTTTCCCCAGAACATGTTAGTCAGGGCTTTTTCCTGGAGCTGAGGGTCTGAATCTCTAGTTGCTATATTTGGAGCCAAAGGGAGAAAACATTGATTGTGTATTCTGAGAAACAGGTAACTCACATCAACCCTAGAAGAGAAAAAATCAAGGCTTCAATTTATCCAGAGTAAGAATTCAAACAAACCCTTACCCCTACAAAAGCAAAGCTGCTAAGTATTGCAGTTTGGGAAGCAGTGTCAATTTTGTGTCTTGGGTATTTTTTTGGGTTTTTTGGGGGAGTTTTTTCTTGTTTGTTTGGGGTTTTTTTTGTGTTTTGTTTTGTTTTGTTTTTATGAGGAGGGACTGATGGGACATAGCTGTTCTAGAGGAGAGCCAGTAGCTAAGAATCCTGAATAAGGGTAGGACCCTAACTGGTGCTGGGGGGATATATTAAATCTCCTTTTTTTTTGGGCATCTCTAACTGGTAGCCTAGGTGTCAGTCTGTTAAGCTTGCTGGTTTAAATGCCTGAATTTCCTGCATTTTATGGGGACTATGGGCACCTCTCAAGAAAGTGAATTTTATTGTAACACATGCATCAGTGATGGAAGTAAGCCAGGGTAATTTTTTTCTACTCTGAAAACAACTGAGTTCGTTCCACAAAATAAAGTGCCAGTTTTTGTGCTCGTTCAGCATCAGGCAGAAAACAAATCCAAGGCTTTTTAAGAATTCAGGTGTGAGAAGTTGTGCAGAGCTCTGCTACAAGGTGTTACTAAAGGAATGTGAAAAGTTTTAAGCCCTGGTGTGATCTGATATGACAGACCATAATATTGCAGAGTTTGCTGCCAAATCCTCATCTGATCAAGGCAGATACATTTCCTTTAGCAAAAGAGTTCCAAGTCACGTCAGAAACAAAACAAAACAAAAAAACCCCAAAACAACAAAAAACAAACAAAAAACAAAGCAGTGAAGGTAATTGTGACCTACCTAAGAAAACAAGGTCATTCCTAATCTGGATAATATTTTATTACTTTATTATAAAAGGTTAGATTCAGATTGGGTGTTGTTTTAGTTGTTTAGTTGCTGATGAGTGATGCATTTATTTTGGGAAATATAGTAATTATAAGCTTACCGTACTGACAGAATAATGTCTGTGTACAGCCAGAGTAAGAATTCAGAAGCATGCCAGATTATATTTCCAATGAAACTCTGTGAATTTAAATCATTATAAATCAAAATTGTTTCACTTCCCATTGGAGTGGAATAGGGTCACTTGGATATCACTTTATCAGAAACAAACCACGATATACTGTCTTTCTCAGGCCACCAAATTTCTGAAATAATTTCCTGGTACCTAGTTTACATAGATGTTTTGTGGGTAAACTAATTTTTTTTAACTGCATTAAATATGAATATGAATTGTGCACAAATAGATTATAGTAATTACATGGAAGGACTGTGTTAACCTCTTCGATCTTTTTTTATTTTATAAGTGTTTCATTTTACTGCCCTAAACAACTTAGGGCTACTCATGATTCGACTTCAGGTTTTGGGCATACACTTCACATGTTTTATGTCTGAGCTTTCTGGAATGGTCACACCCCAATTTCACATCCATGTTGCTGGAAAAGACTATCAAGGCACTGAAGGATAAATGTATGCAATGGTAATTATGTAATCAGATGCCTGTAGGTTGCTTTGAATGCTCTGCTACATCAGGAGCAGAGCAGATGAAATGGGGTTTGGTTTCTTTCCTGAAACAACTGCTTTGTCTCCATCTTCCTTTCCATCTTCCATGTCTCCTTTGCTTTCTGCCAGGAGCTGCTGTAGCCCACAAGCATAACAGGGTGTCAGGACACCAGCCCTACAGCTCCAAGCTTAAGCATGGATAGGTTCCTCTTTAAACTCCAGAGGTTTGTTCAAGCTGTAGTTCACAAATATCCTGCCTTCTAGGCTGTCATCAGCTGGGAATTGCGGGTGATTCCTGCTAGGGAATACAGGGGAATTCCAGTGTAGAAAGGGATCAAGTTACTAAAGAGTTTGGGAAACATGCTTATCCTCCCATGAAAGGAAACTGTTAGGTTTCCTCTTAGGAACCTAACAAGAGTGTCTCAGTTAAACAAGACTGTAAAATATTCAATTCATATGTTCTTGGTCTATCTTCAGACTCTTATCTATAAGGCAGAAGTTGTTTTTTGAATAAATAAATAAAGGTTGTATCATTTAGAAGGTGTGTCTTTCAAATAACTTTTATCCAGCCCAGCAGAGGGAGAGGAAATGCCTTATCAAGCCCTGGCCACCTGAGACCCACTGGGCTCTTCAGGCCAAGTTAATTGGTTCTGGGCCGGGTGATACGGGCAAGACCAGCACCCCTCCCTCCCCAAAACGAGACAGAAAGAGCAAAATCCTTCCTGTGGTGGAGCTGCTGTGGGAGGAGAGCTCTTGCCTTCTGGAAGAGGAAGCAACCTTTGCAGCTGTGAAACCTGAGAGAACAATGGAGGTTGTGTAGACCAGAAGTTACAGGGGGCTGCTCTCAGGGCTTGATGCCAGAGATGTCCCACAGCAGCAATCTTTTCTCTGTAATAAATTCTAAACTTCTCTTGACCTTATTGCTGCATTCTGGGCTGAAATACATCTGAACAACTGATGGGAGGTACCCCATATCTTAAAATTTGTGGGTATATACCGAATGTCAGCAGAACTGTTCTTGACAAAACCAAAATGTAACTGAAAGCATTTTCCTCTTGTTTCCAGGCTGAATTTGAACTCAGCTTTTTATTCCTGCCTTAGCCATGCAGTGGAAGAACATCTCATACCACACCCTCCATCTTGCTGTTGTGAATTAAGTTGCTTTTTCAAGTGGTTCCTCACATGCAGGTAGGCCTTTGTGTACCCTATATGTGTAGTCATCACAGACCATTCTCCTTGACTTGGTTGTAAAAGTACTTAAATTCATGCATACTAAGGCCATAGCTCTTCCAGTTGTATGACTATGCCTAAAATCTATTAATGTGAACATTCCCACTGATTTTTTTTTTTATATTGTGTGCAACAGATATGTGCAAAAATTGGAACTGAATTATTACTTTGTCCTCAGAGAATTAAAACCTTTAAAAATGCCTGCTTCTTGCCAAATGAGACGTAAGATCCTGATTTACACCATCAGTTTTCTATACATTGCAAGACAAAGGTATTTAAACAATAATATTGTAAATAATATTATTTCCTCTAACATAAAACAGTGGACTCATAATAAGTGGCCCACAGCTGTTGGATTAATATATGTAAGGATTTTTAATTTATGTTTTAAATTATATAGTCCAGGATGATCTGTGCATTCTATCTCTCTCTCTCTCTCTCTCTCTCTCTATCTCTCTACCTCTCTATCTATCTATCTATCTATCTATCTATCTATCTATCTATCTAGTCTTGGACTATAGTCAAGACTAGGTGAGAAATATTGCTTGTGTGGAAACTCTGAATGGCCTCCTTCTACAGTCATCATCATGCAGGCATTTTCCCTCTTTAATATCTACTACCCCTCAATGCTATTTCCTTTAGGTTACTGTTTCTGGCTCACATTACACTTAAATGTAATGATGCACAGCCTGTCATCTACAAGGATTCATTTTAAATGAGGTAGTCACTATCCTTATCTAATGAATGGTATAGTTCTTTGGCCAGTACAGTTTGAAAATTAGGAGGATTTATAGTTCAGCTGTCTGAACATAATACAAGATTTTTGACAGTGAAATAAGCATTTGAAATTCAAATTTTATAAATGGGTTCTTTAAAACTATTTGATGTTAAATCACACTGAAAAAGAACTTTATTACACAAGTGGCTGTAAGACTTTTGAATGCTGTCTTTATTTATACCACACCAATGCAACAGAAATTATCATTACTTACTGAAGAAATAAGCTCTGTTCTTTCTAGTTGGATTATATTTAAATCCTAAAAAATTTTTGCAAAAGATGGAGCTGAAAGCAAAGGTCAGTGAAAGATTTAGTCCTGAAATAGGTGAAATGTGGTTCGTGGGATAAATGTTTTTTCTGTTGACTGCATGTCAGCTCTGTATTAGATGTGAGCAGGACAATAACTGATGAAACATCTAATTTCCCTTCTTGTATAAAAAACAAATATTGCTGTTTGACCCATGCAAGAGTGGTGTTATTAAGAAACATGGGTGCTTCTCATACAGCCTCATTCAAGGCATTTCAAGGCAAGTGCCTGTGTTGGTTGATTAGCCTTCCTAGAACACTCCAAAATTGTTAGGAGAAAGAGATTTCTATCACCTAGAGGGCAATTCAGAAGAAGGATTCACAGGGAACAGAATTACTCTCCTAATGAGTCCTCTCACCCTGCTGATGCACAGAATACCAACAGCATCCAACTTCCTAATTTATTGTATAAACAGAAAAAAAGAATGACGTCAGGAGTAAAAACCAAATCAGGATAAGTGTATAAGCCTTAGTATGACACATGCAAAATAAAGGCACTTAAGGCCAAAATTAAAAACCTGAAAATGCCTACTTATGTGGTACCAATTTCTAGGCTTCCTCAAAGTGTGCCAGGAGTCTGGTGATACATCACCAGGCATGTCTGGAACTGCTTGAGAAGTGGTAGTGCTGGAGAGGCAGTGCACATTGTGCCTCAATGTAATCCACCTACAGAAACTAGATGTTCTCTCTAGTATAAGACAAATTGTTTTATTTTCCTCTATTTTCATGTCAAGACCATTATGAATGATTTTAGTGGTTAAAAAGCCCATTCTCATTAAAAAGTTTATAAAACAGGCATAGAAAAAATTTAAGCATGTTTGAAATTACTACTGTGATTACAATAGATGCTGCACAGTAACAGAAGGATAAAACTGTAGTTCTCACCTGAAGCAATTGTATAATAAGATACAAAGCCTGGTTTAGTTCAGAACAGTAGAAGTTTAATCAGGCTCAAGGAACTGATGAATTGGCAATGTCAGTGCCATATTTATTCCATCACTGCAGCACAGGATTGAAGTTTCTAGTGGAACGAAATAAAAAACGATCATGGTACTAATTATTGTCACTTTTTTCTTAATTCTTAAGAAATATTAAAAAAAGGAAAAGCCAAGGAATAGTGTTAGCAGAATCAAGACAAATTGAATTTATCATTGACAAAGGAAGAGGTAGGTTGTAACTGATGTCTTATCATTTCTTTTATTTAATAATATACAGCTACTTAAGGAAGCCAGACAAGTCTGAATGAGTGTTTAGAGATGTCCTGTAAGAAGATGTGTATACAACAGTGCTGTTGAATGACTGGCCAATAATCAGAGCCTACTTTAATTCCAGAATGTACACACAAATGATATTCCTTGGCTCCATTTTCAAAGCTGCATTTGGAAATTTATGCACATTAATCCTGTAACAATAACAGGATTTGTGTTGCCAACACAAGCATAGCTTTGAAAGTGTGACCATAAGGGTCCAATGCAACAGTCAAAGTAATCCCTGGCCTTTTACCCTCAGAGAAAAGAACAATTTTGCAAAAATTTTTGTCACTAAACTAAAAATATATTCTATACCCTGGGGAATTCTCACATGAACATTCTCTTTGTGGCTGGAGGGGCGTAAGATCATTAGGGAAATGGAAGAGAAAGAACAGTTATTGAAGGAGCCCAAGTCTGCTTCTTAACCTGTCTGAAAACCCCCAGTTTCCCCACCCTTCTACAAAAGTGTTATTCTAGAATGGTTTGGTTTGTAAGGGACCTTCAGTGTTCATCTGGTCCAACAGCAGGGACATCTTAACTAGATCAGGTTGCTCAGAGCTCCATCCAACCTGACCTTGAATATCTCCAGGGATGGGGCATCCACCACCTCTCTGGGAAGCCCATGCCATTGTTTCATCATGATCACTGTGAAAAATTTCTTCCTTAGATCTGGTCTGAATCTACCCTCTTTTAGTTCAAAATCATTAATTAATCCTTGAGCTATTGCAATAGATCCTACTAGGAAGGCTGTGGCCACAGAGAAGAGAAGTGAACGCTGTGTGATTTAAACTGATGCAGATTTAAAATTATAAAAGTAAATATGCTAGTTTACTCTCCTGTTGCCCAACAGGGCAAGGTGTTGTCTGTTCTCCTTCAATTCATATTGCCAGAGAGCAGGACCTTTGGAAATTTTCAGAACTGGCATTTTTCCTTTTCTCCCTAGAACATGAGCTTTGTGCAAATCTTACGTATGAATAGGAAGTTAAGTGAAATTCAGTAATTCATACAGAGAAGTAGCAAATGTTATCTGAAAAGTTTCAGCATGGGACTTTTCATTCAGAATTCCTGTAGACTTCAGAAAAATGCAAGGTGTGGGTCTTTTCCCTAGCTGAAAATCAATCCCCTGTGTTAAATATCTTTTGGACTGAATGGATGTTCATGGCTTTTTGTCTCATACTGAAAGCTGTCGATTTTGGAGGATATTGGTTTCCAGTCATATGGTTCAGAGCAGGGTTATTGGTTGTTGTTATTATTTGTGACACCTATTTTAAAGAAGGACATATTTAATATCTCTCCAGGATAGCAATATCTAAAGATTGCAGACACAAATATCACTGTTGTTGCAAGTGTGAATAAAACTGCAATAATGTTTTTATTTCAGATTAATAAAGCACAAAGTCTTCTTAGCATTGTTAAAAAAGAAAATGGCCTAATAATCAAATATTACAAAGGATATTAAATATCCAATATCCAGATACCTCTAAGTTAAAAGAAGGGAGAGAGAATTTCCAAGACAGAAGGATTTTGTGGAAAAAGAAACAATGTTGTGCACTAATTAGGTTTTAAAAAATGGATAAGGATTTTTTGGAGGCGATGGCCAAGAGGTGGCAGCACACCCTGCACTGCTGAGTGTCTGGAGCCCTCAGAGCTATACAGTGCTCATTCCCAAGGGCTCAGCAGCCACTTTGCTTCAAATACACCAAATAAGATGATGTCCTTAGGAAATAAATCCTTTTGTGGCTACAACTGGATTTTTAGAATTACACAAGACCACATGAAATTAAATATTTTAATATTTAGTCTGAAAAATACTCATTTGATGCTCTGGCATTCTGGGCTGCTGGGTCTTGCTGTAGTCTCACGTGGCATGTTGCTGTACCACAAAAGTCAGACATATATGCTTATGGTTTAATGTCATCAGTCTGGATCCATAACAAGATCTAACCAGATTAAGACTTGCTTTATCCTTCTGGTTAACAAAAACACAGGATACAGCTCATGTAAAATCATCTTGTATTTAGAAAAGTATCTGCAGGGCACCATTCAAACAGGTTGGTTCTTTATGCCCCAGAGGAGTGACACAGTAATGGAAGTAAACCTGCCAGATGTTAAGATGGGAACAGCTGTGATTCTTTCCTGTGGCCACTATCCTCCCACAATCTTCAGACAGAGCCCAGCTGATTCTGGACCCCTTTCTCATGCTTGAAAACAACATCTGAAGGATGCTTGCTATTAGCAGTGGGTGGTTTCAGCATATGGTGAGACATGGTTACAGTTCAGTTCTAAATGTACACGATACAGTTGCTGGTTCCTGCTGTGCCAGGGTTATATCTGTGGCACTCGATTTTGCTATTCTCTGTCACAGCCTGCTCAGTCTGGCTCTGAGCATAACTGTACCCCTATTGCCTTCTTCCTGTTCCTTTGGCCTCTCACAGGGCTGGGTCCTCCTTACCCCTGTGGTTTTCTTTCTGTAATGGAAATATTCACCCTCCCTGCCCTGTGGCCAGGAGAAGTGCTGCTTTTCCCAAGGAGAGGCCAGGAAGAGCACTGAGCCACCACACATTCGGTGGGGGTGGAGGTTTGTGTGTCCTAGAAGGCAGTTTGGGTGATAAGGAGTTCAGTGAGGGGCAGTGTGGCAGGGAGAGGAACTCCTCCATCTAAGGAAATCCTCTGTAGTGATCTTAGCCCAAAAAGCACATTCTTAACTGTGTCTCCTCATCGATTGCTATCGGGGTTACAAAGGACACCAGTGATATTCTCTGCTGCTACTGCTTATTGTAGTGCAGATTATTGCTTTCATTGCAAGAAGATGGGCTTATCTTACTGAGAACTGCAGTTCTTTTCACTTATACCCTTTATACCCAGGGAGGAAAAAAAAATAGTAACAAGAGTTCCTCTGAAAAACTGTTAAATTTAGCTGTTTGGGCTAAATATTAC